AAGCAGCCTATCCGGCTCTGGCGCCCACCTCACTATGCTACCTCAATTATTCTTTCACAAGGACAAAGCTGACATTCTTATTTCATAGACAAGGACATTGAGGCTGAGTCAGATACCCTTCCCCAAGGCCGGAGATCTAGGCCCAATCTCTGGCCTACACCAAGGCCTCCCTTTATGACGATGGGGGACAAAGCTAGCACCCCGTGAATTATGGTGGTGGGAGGTACTAGTGTGCACCTTCCTGTAATGTCACCTCCTCCAGGAAGTTGGAGGTATAGTTGTGCGCCTTCCCTTACTGTTACTTCCTCCAGGAAGTTCTCCCTGACTGACCATCCCCCACTGGGCTCCAGCAGCTCCCAGGGACGCTCCTACCATGTCCCTGCTCACTGTGTGTGACCATGGGCATGTAGGTGGCCAATGCCCACTGACTATGAGCTTGACCTTGCCCCTGTGCATCTCCAGCACCGTGCATCTCCAGCCCCGAGCCCCGGGCCTGGCCCAGGCAGGTGCCAAACAAGCATGTGGGGGACAAGTGGGTGAACTGTGACAGTGAGGTCCAGGTAACAAGTGACAGAAGGGCTTGGGAGGGAAGAGCTAAGCTACCCAGAGCAGTAGAGGGGTGCGGGGGGAACCCCACAAGGGACAGGGACTTCCAGTGGGGAGGGCTGGAGGTGGCCGTGGGGTCCTGAGCTCTCACAGTGCGGAGAGGCCCGGAGGGGGCAGATTCTTCTGTGGTTGGGGCCAGAGCCACGGCCTCTGTGTGAATGAGAAGAAGATGTCCTTCCTCCCTCAGGGCACCGATCCTGGCCGGGACCCGTGAGCCACCCCAGATGCCCTCAGCCGGGCCCTTGTGTGGGACACAACCTGTGTGCTCTGTGTGAGGTTTTCGGGGGTGTGTGCGCGTGTGGGGGGGTGTGTGTGTACGCCTGTGGGGTGTGTGAATGGGATGTGTAGGTGATATGTGTGCGTCTGTGCTGCGGCGTCTCAGTCCCCCGGTTGGTTGGCCTCTGAGCACTGAGGGGTGGGAAGCAGAGGCATGAGGGTCCCGAGTCCCAGCACTAGAAACGAGGTGTCTCTCAGAGGAGGTGACAGTGGTTTTCATCCTGCCCCGTGGGAACGGGGCTGATGTGAGTCCCTCAGTATGCCATGAACAAGCTGATGGTCCCCGGACGGGCAGGCCACACGCTGACCCTCTGCTCAGGCAAGGCCCTCCTGCCTCAGCGTATTGGGTACTTAGTGAGGGGAAAGGCGGGGACACACTGAACAGAGGAATCTGGGAAGGAAAATGTCCCAAAGGGGGTGGAGGGGCCCGGTCTCGAAGACCATGGCTCAGGCGGAGACCCTGGAGGGCCTCTGGCCATGGTTGCAGGAGGTACTGCCCTGGGGGAGGCCCGATGCTTCGAGGAAGGGACTGCACAGGACCACCAAGGGAAGACTCGGGCTGCTGGCCCCGAATGCGCTGCGGTCCCCGTCAATCGGACCCAGCCCCCCGGGCGGCGGGCTTCGGCCCCGGAGTTCCGATCGCCCCCTGCCCCGCCGGCCCAGTCAGATGCTAGGGCCACACATCTGTGCAAACTGAGGTCTCAGAGAGGAATCTGCAGGACCTGAGTCTCCATCTCCCAGGGCTGCTAGGACGGGGCCCCAGGGGCCGGGAAGCTGCCGCGTCCAGGTTGCTGAGCCTCCCCTTGCCACGGAGCTGGGCTCACGGGGTCCGGGAGAGCGTCTGCGGCTCCAGACGCCCGACTGGAGCAGGGGTCCCGAGCCGACACTTGTTGGGGAGACGACACCCTCAAAAGAGCTGTGCTAAGGCCAGAATTGGGTCTGGACAGGACAGACGGCCTGCTCGACTTGCCCTGGGGAAGCTGCCCCGGGAATAGGGGACTCCCCTTTGGGAACTCCATTTCATTGGGCCCCTGGCCAAGGGCGGTGAGCAGGCCAGGAGGGAGAGGGGAGCTGGTGTTCGGTGAGCAAGGAGACACGGCGGGAGCCCCACGTGCTGCCTGAGAAGGGGCTGGGGAGACGCATCTGTCCTCACAGCTCCAACGCGCCGTCCCGGGGGGGCAGGACCGGGGGACTGGACACGGAGTGGACGGCAGACCCTCCGAGCCAAGGACAGGACGGGGTCCAGCACGTGGTGCGGCACGGAATGGCCCAGGGGCCACACACAGGCACGAGCCCCCGCAGGAAGGCTCCATAGGAGCTCTGGCCCACCCTCCCAACAGTGCAGGAAGAACCCCGCCTCTGTGCCACGGGGCTCGAGTTGGGAAACGCCGCACACCGCTTCCAATCGGAGGTGCTGTCCAGGGAACGGGGCCTCCGGGGACACCTGCCTTCCAGGACCTGCCCTTGCCCTTGATCCCCAAAAACCACTTCATCCTTCCTCACTCCCCACCCTCTCCCCCCAACTACTCCAGGCTGTCGGCATGTGGAGGGGAAGTGAGCGCCCACCCTCCCATCTTACAGATGAGGACACCGAGGCCCTGAGGGCAAAGGTCACCAGGGTGGTGGCCGCTCACAGGCATCGGACTGCGCACTTCTCAGCATCTCACCACGCACGGGAGGCGCTCTCTCCATGTCACGGAGACTGCGAGAGGTCGGCTGGCCCCCACTGGCACCACGAGGAAGAGGAGGGGCAGCATTCTAAGGGGGTCCCCTGTGCCTCCGAGCCCTTGCCGGTGACTCCGAACCCCAAACTCACTGTCCCACACGCAGCCATCAAATCAGAGAAGTCGACTGAGAAGCGCCGACGGTGTCCCTCAGTAACGTCTGCCCGGAGAAGTGTAGTGAGGCTGGCAGATCATTTTATCAGAGTTTGTTTCCTTCACTGTTAAGTGGGGATAATAATAGTAACAGTAATATTCAGGGCTTGTAAGATTTCAGTAAATAACCCAAATGAAGCCTTCTTTTTGAAGCTCCCATTACTCCTTCCTGAATCCCTTTCCCTCCCCAAAGTGATATGAGTATAATATTTTAAGTTATTTCTCTGGAAGCATTCTCAAATGTTAAGAATGATGCAGAGGCTGATTAGCCATCTGACCTTGACGAAGCTTCCAGACTTCTGAGAGGAGCCTCCTCAGTCAATTTATTGAGGTATAACCTGCATACAATAAAATGCACCCATCTTAGAGTAGGGTGAGCTTTGACAACTATATACACCCACATAGCCACTTCAATGGCTATGGGACATTTCCATCATCCCAAAAGAGTTCCCTGTCCCATCCCAGTCACCTCCCCTGGCGCTACTCCCAGACAACCAATGATGGGCTTTCTGTGGATTATGGAGTAGATTTGCCTTTTCTAAGGTTTTCACAAGGGAGTCATACAGTATGTATTTTTTTGTGCTTGGCTTAGATTCATCCACTGTTGCTTGTATCAGCAATTCGATCCTATTATTCCTACACAAGGACCTAACAAGTGAGTGGGTTGCTTCCAATGTGGCTCCTGGGACAGGGTGGGCCTAGGAACCGGCGGGTCTCTGGCTCAGCTGGGGCTTCAGTGCTAACCACACAGGGCCTGGCCCATAGTAGGCGCTCAATTTGTAGTGAGTAAATTGATTAACCATGCAGTATCTGTGAAAGGCACAAACCACCAGATCATGTGGTGAGTCATCTCATTCCTTTTCAAGCAGCCCCCCCCCCCCACAGAGTGGAGAGGCAGGGGGTAAAACTTAAACAGGATGAAGTGGAAAGGACGGTTTAAAATAAAGCGTAAGCAAGCCGACTGGGGAATAGTCCCTGGGTTCATTATCCAGCAGAGCCCGGCCCTCCCCGCGCCCGCCCCCACCAGGGATAATTAAAAGCTCGACTCCTCGGTCCCTTCCCTGGGGAGGCGGCGGTGCTCCCCGGGTGAATGGGCTCTGAGGAATGAAAAACGACACAGTGGCCTCATTGTTCGGCGGCCGGGGAAACTGAGGCCAGAGGGCGGGAGGGAGGCCGCCGGGTGACTGGAGGCTGGGTCACCGCGTGAGTCAGCGGCGCAGACGGGCGAGATCGCTGTCATTAAGGTTTACAGGTCGGCCGCCGCCACCGCGGCTGTGCGGCCCGCGCCCCGCCCGGCCCAGGTCCCCGCGCCCCGCTCGGCCACCACGCCTCGGCGCCCGGCAGGGGCGCCCCCACCGGTTGCCGCTGCGCCCGCGGAGGCCCCGGGCAGCGGGGCGGGGGCGGGGAGCCGGGCCGGGGAGCCGGGCCGGGGGGCGGAGTCGGCCCCGGGCCCGGCCCGCGCCGCAGCTCCGCCTCCTCGGCTCCCGGGCCCGCCCACTGGCGGCGCGCCGCTCCGGGCCCGGCCAGCGGCTGGAACCTGAGCCCTGGGGTGGCCCCTGCCCCCGCCGAGCTTCTACCTGCGCCACCCGCGCGGCGCCCCGGGAGACGGCGCGGGCACTGGGAGCTCGGCGCCGGGCAGACGGCGCACGGCCGGGGCCCGGTCTCCGCCCGGCGCCGCCGCCGCGCGCGCTCCCGCCGCCTCCGCTCCCCCCCCAGGCGCCCCCGGAGCCGGGGCCCGGGCGCGCGCAGAGCCCGGCACGGTGGGCGACGGGGCCCGGGCACCCCCGGCCTTTGACCCCCGCAGCCCGGAAGCGGGTGGGAAGCTGGGCTGTTCCGGCGGTTATTTCAGAGGAGCAGGGAGCACCCCCGTCTGCCGCCTCCCCGAGTCCTCCGGGAGCGTCCTCCCCCAGCCCCACCCCCTTGCCTCCCCTGCACCCCGCGCGGAATAATGCTCCCCTCCTCCTCCCCTCTCCTCCTGGGCTCCTAGCCCGCCCGCTTGCCAGCCCGGGCGGCGGCGGGACCGCAGGGCCCCGTGTCTCGGCCTCTCCCCCGACGCCTGGCCCCCCTCGCCGCCCAGTGGGACCGGGCGGGGGCGGGGTGGGGGGAGACGGAGAAGGGTGCAGTTACGGAGGGGACCCGGGCAGACGCCGCGGCCACGCCTGGCACCCTGTGCCGGGCGGGTGGGGGTGGCGAGGGTGGCGGGGCCGGGGTCACCCGGAGGGGACGCGTCGGAGAGGGCCAGGCGGAACCAGCGCCCTGCCTAACCTGAGGGGGTGGCCTGGGGGTGTGCACTGCTGGACCTGATGTGGTCCTGAAGGCGTCCTTAAATTGTTAAAAATAGTCTCGCTGTATAGAGAAGAACACTGGAACCTTTTAAGTCCCCATCCCCTCGCCTGAGTCCGGAGTGAAACTCCAAACATACTTATTAAGAAACTGTTGCTTTATTTTGACTCGTTTACATAAATTTTCCACTTTGGGGGGATGGTGGTGGGCTTGTGGAATTCCTAAAATAACTTTTAATGGAGCGAAGCCTTCCATTATGGGAAGCGCCTAGACGCGAGAGGCGTCTGGAGGCCTAGGTTCCCGTCAGAGCCCTGCCACCAACTGGCTGAGCGACTGAGGCACATCGCCGCCCCTCCCGGCCGGGGTTAGGAGAGTGGACGCCCCCTCCACCCCGAAAGGGGAGACCGGAGAGCTGTCTCAACCATTAATAATGAGACTGGGTTTTCCTTCCTTAAAATGTTCTGATAGTATGGAGAGGCAACTTGGAGATGAGAATAAAAATAAAAGAGGTGAGAGCAGTTTGCTTTTCTCAGTGGTGTACTCTGTGCCTAACACCGGTTATATTTATGGCTCGGTCAAGGTCACCTTCAGATCTGTGCAGGTCCATCAATTATATATTATCCTATCGCTATGGGGAAACCTCCCATCACTTCAGAAGCTTCAGACCTTTGTACCATCCTCCTGCAAAAGGACCTGTGCGGAGGGGCACCAAGGGCCTGACGGGGAGGGACTTTTGAAGAATGAAGGTGGACAGGTGATGTCAACTTGATGTGTCACATCATTCAGGGAGCCATAACAGGTTTATGGCCCTGACCCGGGGAGGCCCTGCCCCCCTTACCACCGAGGATCCGAGAGGCTGAGTACTGTGGACACCTGGGTGAAACAGCCATGAAGCTTTACTAACTGGTCAGTGCTCTGGTAACCTGTGGGGCCCCTTGCCTCCTCCCCTCCGCTCTGCAGGTGTGGGCTTCGGGGGGGGGGGGGCCAGTGGGACAGAGCCCATAGTGATTCAGTGTGAAACAAAGCAAGTGTCAGGACCCCCTCTCCTCCCAGCAAACAAATGCGTGCGGTGGCATCTCTGCGATGGGCCAGATGTGGCAGTGGGAGAGAAGCAAAGGGTTTAATTTGAAATGGTGGAATGTTGGGAAGAATGAAGAGAAGGGGATTAGGGCTCCACTTTGAAAGAAGGCAGGGGGACAATTACTTTAACGGGTTGTAATTGGTCTTGTCCTGAGGAACTCACCCCTCCTTTGCTAAAACCCCAGGCCAGCTCAGACCTGCAGCTGGATTGCCCAAGTGCCTCCCTGTTTTTCCCCTTTGAACACTTGCTCTCAGAACAAATGCCTCTGTCGCCCTCCCTCTGGTGCCTTCTCCCTTTTCGGGGGTGTGTGTGTGTGTGTCTGTAGCTAGCTGGCCACTTATCTATCTTTATATAGCAGTTTTCCAGGCTGGCAGGTGGGAGGCCTTGCCAGAGGAGAACCTCTCTAATTTACTCTCCCAGCTCTGCAGCCTGACTCACTTGGGGCGGGTCTACACCACAGTCTTAAGTACAGCGAAGGAGGAAAGTGACTTCAAGCAAACTGAAAACCATTTGGAAGAAGAGACAGTAGGCACACAGGTGAGCACATAGCTACTTAAATCATAGGAACAAACCAAAATCGGGGGGAAACCCCACAAAACACCGAACTAGATTAAAGGTGTTTACAGGGGCGCCTGGGTGGCTCAGGTGGTTGAGTGTCTGCCTTCGGCTCAGGTCACGATCCCAGAGTCCTGGGATCAAGTCCCGAATCAGGCTCCCTGCTCATCAGGGAGGCTGATTCTCCCTCTGCCTGATGCTCCCCCTGCTTGTGTGCTCTATCAAATGAATAAATAAAATTTTAAAAATAAATAAATAAAGTTGTTTACACGGGTGCCTAGGTGGCTCAGGTGGTTGAGCGTCTGCCTTCAGCTCAGGTCATGATCTCCTGTTCCTGGGATTGAGCCCCATATTGGTCTCCCAGCTCAGAGGGGAGTCTGCTTTTCCCGCTGCCTCTGCCTCTCCCCCTGCTTATACACACTCTCTCTCTCTCTCTCAAGTGAATAAACAAAATCTTAAAAAAATAATAATGTTGCTTACAAATGGCTGGTTGGTACTAGATAATAAGGCTAGACTGTTTCCCGCCATGGGGAATGCTTGCATCTTGAGGGAGAAGATGAGTTAAAAAGCCACCAACCTGGGATGCCTGGGTGGCTCAGTCGGTTAAGCATCTTGCCTTCAGCTCAGATTGATCCCACCTGGGGCTCCTTGCTCAGTGGGGAGCCTGCTTCTCTCTCTACCTGCTCTGCCCATCACTCCCCCTCCTTGTGCACGCACTCGCACTCTCTCTCTCTCTCTCTCACTGATAAATAAATAAAATCTTAAAAAAAAAAAAAAGCCAATCTACTCTTTGAGCAAAGGGCCTATTCTAGGCCTGGGGCAGGAAATACTCAAGATGAGCCTAGAGCAGCTCTGTAGTGCCAGAAGGTACGGAAGTACTCTAAGAGCAAAAGGGTGGGGATATGTTAAAGGAACCAACCTGAAATAGCTCCTGATAACCAAGGTTGGAGCAATGTGAGCATAAATAAATAAATAATGTCATACTGGATTTTAATCCAAAGTGTAAAATAAACATCCACAAAGGAATTCATACTGATACAAAGAAACGACTGATGCATAAATAAATAAATGGGGGAGAAGAGTCAAATCTCCCATATAGAAAATTCCAAACAATTTATGTAGATATTGTCCCCTCAAGTAAGTAGAGCTTAATTCCACCCCCACCCCACCCCCCGCCTTGAGTGAGGGCTGTGCTTAGTGACTTGCTTCCCAAGGATGTGGTTTAGAAAGGATGGTAAGAGTAATTTTGCAGTGGAGATACCTGGCAAACACTACCCCAGGTAGGTGACGAAGATCAACATCATTAGTGGTAAGTCCTATTACTAGCACGCATCCCTGATCTGATATGATGAGAACGCACTTCACCTCTCCCCCAAACCCTAGTCTAACCATGAGAAAAACATCAGACAAACCCAGGTGAGGGACATCTTATAAAATTCCTGACCAGTACTTCTCAAAACTGTCAAGGTCGTCAAAAACAAGGAAAATTTGAGATGCTATCACAACCCAGAGGAGCCTAAGGAGATGCGAGGATTAAATATAAGCCCGTATCCTAGGTGGATCCTGGAAGAGGGAAGGATGTTAGGGAAAACTGGTGGAACCAGAATGAAGTATGGAGTTTGGTTAATAGCAGTATATCGTATACCGGCGCAGTTTCTGAGTTCTGGTGACAAATGGCACCATAGTAACGTTAAGAGGTTAATAATAGGAGAAATTGAGTATGGGATATATGGGACCTGTCTGCACTCTCTTTGCAACTTTTCTGTAAATCTAAAACTGTTCTGGGGCACCTGGGTGGCTCTGTCGGTTAAGGGTGCGACCCTTGGTTTCAGCTCAGGTCCTGATAGGAGGTTCGTAAGATCGAGCCCCACGTTTAGCTCTGTGCTCAACATGGAGTCTGCCTGAGATTCTCTCTCCCTGTCCCCCTGCCCTTCCCGCTCATGCTCGTGCTCTCACACTCTTTCTCTCAAACACATAAATCTTTAAAAAAAAAAAATAGGAAAAATAAAACTGTTCTAAAAGAAAAAGTAAAAACAAAACAAGACAAAAACTGGTCTGGCTCGGGTTTTAATGTCACAGGACTTAGGTGTCCTAAGGAGAAGGGGATGGGCTAACAATGGAGCCCAGACACCCTGAGAGAGACTGCTGAGACACAGTTGGTGAGTTGATCAGGCAGAGTAAAATAATTTGGTTTTTAAGTCATTTCATGGTCTATATAAGGTGGTTTTAAAGCAGCTTGCTGCGTGTTGCCCAAACCAAAAACACCGCCATCTTGAAATTCCTTTACAGGTAAACATAAATTTTTAGTTGCTTAAAAAGAAAGCACATTAAGGGTGCCTGGCTGGCAGTCAGTGGAGCTTGGGACTCTTGATCTCAGGGTTGTGGGTTCGAGCCCCACGTTGGGTGTAGAGATTACTTAAAATCCTAAAAAAAAAAAAAAAAGTAATGTAGTGGTCCCATCTATTTAAAGTTCAACAGCAGGCAAAAGTAATCTCAGGTGTGAGGAGTCCGAAGAGTGGTTATCGGTGTTGGGGGTGGCTGGCAGAATCTGAATGAGTGAGCTTTGAGGTACTAGCAATGTTCTGGGTTTCGACCCGGGAGCCGGTGATATGGATGTTTTCCGTTTGTGAAAATTCACCAAGCTGTATGCTTATGATCCATGCACTTTTCTGTAAGTTATACAGCAATAAAACATTTACAAATGATAAAATCTACCTATTTTCAAACCTCAGACTTTAGAGCTGGGAAAGACCACCATGCCTCTCTCTTCCCCCCAGAAGGCAAAAATCTAGAGTGGTCTAATAGTTGTGCCCATCCCTGCTAACAAGGGTTTTCCACTGGACGGCTCCACGGAGCAGTAAGAACCCTTTAACCCACTGGCAAGTCTGGGCACAGGCACATCTTCGGGGAGGGAACCTTGAGGAAGGGCAGAACCAGCACCAACCTAGGTGACGTTACACCAAACTTGTATTCATCTGTGCCTCAGTTTGCCCACTGTTAAGGAGGATCTCCAACTACTGTACTGTGTCTGTAGATCACCAAAAAATGTCACCCTGTCGTCATTAGTCGGACTAGTCTTAGTCTTTCAGATTCCTCAGATTCTATTGTGTGCTTAGGTCCTGGAAAATCGGGGCTGGGGGAAATGTTGGTGATTCGAGCTCTGTTACAGTGTGACAAAGTCTGCGCTGGAGCTAGAAGGACGAGTCTGCCCGCAGCTCTGTCCCGAACTGACCTCAAAGGGCCATCAGAGGACTGCCGTGAGGTGCAGCGAAGGGGACGCTGAGCCGCGCGGGGATAAAACCACTCGCCCAGGGTCACCAGGCTAGTGCTCCTTAAAGGTTCTTGTCTCAGTCATGTCATGTCCTCTAACCGGCTGGCTCACCACGCTGCCGCTGGGACCGGGAGTTGTATTGTTTCCTTAAATAAAGTTTTTTTTTTTGTTTCCGTGACTTCTTTTATTGAAGAAAATCTAGAAAAGTGAAAAGCATGACAATCAGAATTTACTTGTGGGCGCCTGGGTGGCTCAGTTGGTTAAGTGACTGCCTTCAGCTCGGGTCATGATCCTGGGGTCCCGGGATCGAGTCCCGCATCGGGCTCCCCGCTCGGCGGGGAGTCTGCTTCTCCCTCTGACCCTCCCCCCTCTCATGTGCTCTCTCTCTCTCATTCTCTCTCTCAAATAAATAAATAAAATCTTTAAAAAAAAAAAAAAAAGAATTTACTTGTCATTCCAGCACTCAAAAATGCAGCTATTTGAAAGTTTTCACGTTGTGAAAGGACACCTATTATGGCATTACATTTTTGTATTTTTTTAATATTTAGTTTTTGTGGCTAAGTTAAGCAGGAGAATGGGAATTCTTGGTTTGCCATTGTTGGGAGTTGAATGGGTCTCCAGAGACTCCTCCGAGGGCCTGGAGATGATGGGTGGAGTAGAGTCTCCGGTAGGGTGGAGGAACGGGGGACAGGGCCAGCTTGCCTTATACCCAGGACATCCCGTGGAGGCTTTTAGAGGGGTTTCTCTCTTGCAGAATTGTAACATCAAACTCACAAATCCGTCCTTTGAGAACTGAGTTCATCTTTAAGGTTGGGTTATCTTTTTTTTTTTTAAGTATTTTTATTTATTTATTTTTTTAAGTAAACTCTACCCCCAACATGGGGCTTGAATCCCCAACCCTGAGATCAAGAGTCACATGCTCTTCTGACTGAGCCAGCCAGGGACCCCAAAGATTTTTTATTTTTAAGCAATCTCTACCCCCAGAGCAGGGCTCGAACTCACAACCCTGAAATCAAGAATTGCACCCTCTACGGAAGTTGCATGCTCTACCAACTGAGCCAGCCGGGTGCCCCTTAACATTTTTTTTAAGAGCAATATAGACTCACCTGCAGTTGTAAGAAATACTATAGAGAGATCCTGTAGACCCTTTACTCAGTTTCCCCCGATGAGAACATCTTGCATTAAGATTGTCTTTTTGGGGCGCCTGGCTGGCTCAGCTGGTAGAGCATGCAACTCTTGACCTCAGGGTTGTGAGCTCGAGGCCCATGTTGGTTGTAGAGTTTATTTAAAAATAAAATCTTAAAAAAAGTATGTCTTTTTATGTGATCTAAGAGACTTAAGAAGCTTAGCGGAAGATCATCAAGCTAAATCTCCTTTTACTGGTAAGAAAGCTGAGGCCTGGGGTAGGTAAGCAAATTTCCTGAGCTCACAGCTAGGTATGGCAGCAGTCTCTAAACCTTCTCCCTCTGGGCCTCGGAGGCTTTGTATACACGGGATTTCATTTTCTGTTCTCCAAACTGCCTGGGATTAGGCTGGTTTCGCAGGTAGGAGTAGACATCCTCTTGGCTTTTCTTCTTCCCCAGTGGTAAAGCAACAAAGGTTTATTTTCCACCTGTATTCCACATCCATGGCAGGCTGGCTGGTGCAGGGGTGGGGGCAGGTAACAGGGGTGGGGGCTCTGCTCTGCAGGCCCCCACTGAGAGGGTTTCATCTGTGCGTGTGCATGATTACCAAGCGCGGGGAAATGAGCGCACGGCGACCATAGACTGGCTCTGTTGCTCACTTTGCCCTCTCAAGTCAGGTGGCTACACCTACTTCAAGGGGGCAAGGAAGTACGTTTCAATATTGGGAAATATTTGTTGGGCAGCACTAATAAATGCCCCGATAACCCTCAGTCTATCAGGAGGGACAGGCTTTTTGAGTTGGTCATTGGCAGGCTTCTGCCTTTGCATGATTAGGGTGCTGGTTTTCTGATTTCACATTTCTTTTGGTGTTGTGCTGCCTTCTTTGTCCGTCTCCCAGAGGGGTGGGCAGCAGTCAGGGGGTCCTTCAGCTTTATCTCCCCAGGGAGGGAAAGGCTGGGGGAAGCATGCCTGCATCCCCAAGCCAATGAGTTCTGGAAGATTCTCTTGAAAATGCTAATATGGGGCGGCTGGGTGGCTCAGTTGTTAAGTGTCTGCCTTCAGCTCAGGTCATGATCCCAGGGTCCTGGGATGGGAGCCCCACATCGGGCTCCCTGCTTGGCAGGAAGCCTGCTTCTCCCTCTCCCACTCCCCCTGCTTGTGTTCCCTCTCTCGCTGTGTCTCTCTCTCTGTCAAATAAATAAATAAAATCTTAAAAAAAAAAAAAAAGAAAATGCTAATATAATCTGAGGCTGTGTTAATAAAAGGGAGATGATAGTTCTGGTATATTATGTCACTACTTGGACTACTTTATTCATTCAATCATTCAACACTCATGCCTAGGATATTCCAGACCCCAACAACTGTGATCTGCGTACCATTCCAACTTTCAGCAGGAGTGCTGACCAACTGAGGATCCCCAGAGCAGGGTGACCATGATGGTGAGGGATCTGAGACAAACGCCTGACAGAACAGGGCATGTTCAGTTCATAGGCGAGGAGGGGGAGGATGTAGTAAGCGTCTTCAAGTACATTATATTTGCCGCATGGCTGCTGAAGGCAGGAGGTGGATGAATGGATGGAAGTTATCATCAGGCAAACTTCAGCTCACTTTGGGTTCAGCCTTTTAACTAGAAAGTCCGCCAAGGGAAGAACAGTCTTCCTTGAAAGCAGGGAATTCTCAGTCCCTGAAAGTCTTCAAACAGGCCGGATGATCTCTTTTATTGATCATTTCTAAAGCTCTTCCTGATACTGAGTCCATAATTCCCAAGGAAAAAGACTTTCCAGCATCTCTTATGTCAGGATTTAAAGTTTCATCTTTGACTACAAATGAAATCATCTACCTCTTAGCATAAGAGTTGGTCTTTTTCAAGTACGGTTCAATTTAAATAGTAACAAGATGGAGGAAAGTTACCCTACAGCTAACACTCACAGAGCATGGACTATGTGTCAGGTACTTTTCTAAGCGCTTTACATATATTAATCAAATTATTAATCTCTTTAATTCTCAGAACAATCCTACCAGGAAGGTGCCAGTCTTGTCAACCCACTTTACAGATGTGAATATGAGGCACATTGCTAGTAAGGGGCAGAGCCAAGATTGCAGTCCAGGTGGTCTGACTCCAGAGTTGGTGCTTCTAACCACGGCCTCTCATAACACCCCTATTTGACAGCTGAGGAACTGGGGCCCATTGGGATTTAGGGATGTGTCTGTGGTCACTGGGCTTGTTGAGTGGCAGCACCTAGATCGGGACGGAACCCAGTCTCCTAGCTACCCCAGTATGCTCAGTCTAGAGGGCTTTCGCCACCTATGACCACACATCCAGTTAGGGGCCTGCACAATTGATTGCATTGATTGACACTGCTGTGCCATGAAGACTGAAGCACATGTTCCAGATCTCCCAGAAAGTTGGGGACAAAGCTATGATGATCCCTATATGCTTTTCTTTTCTTAATATTTTTTTTAAGATTTTATTTTTTTAAGTAATCTCTACACTCAGTGTGGGGCTCCAACTCATGACCCAGAGATCAAGAATCACGTGCTCTTCTGACTGAGCCAGCCAGGGGCCCCTCCATATGCTTTTCTAAAATGGTGAAATGTTTGTCTCTCCTCATGTTCCAGAATTTGACATTCTTCCCCTCCTTCATCTCATGGCCATGAAACTTCCTGAGTCCTAAATTCTGTCTCCCTCTCCCCAGGACTTGCCCACTCACCTAACCTCTAAAAGCGAGTTTGTGGTAATTTGGGCCAGCAAAGATTTGGGTATTTTATGTAGGCTAAATTTGCCAATCTTTTACGGCTTCTGAGTTTAGAAAAAGTTTTCTTACTCTGAAATTTTAGAAGAATTCCCTCTTATGTTCTTCTAATATAGTTATGGCTTTTGTTTTTCTATTTAAATCTTTGCTCCATCTGAAATTTCCTTTGTTATATGGAATGAAGTAGATAACCAGTGTTCTTTTCCCCCATATCTTCATTGAGTTGTCCTGATGCTATTTATTGGATATCCATTTTCTCTCCACTGGTTTGAGGTACCATCTCCATACAAAATTAAATTCCATATATATTTGAAATCATACAGAGTATGTTCTCTGACCATTGTGAAACTAAGATGCAAAGAGATAGCTAGAAAATCCCCCAAATGTTTGGAAACCAAGCAACCTACATCTAAAGTAACCTGTGGGGCGCCTGGGTGGCTCAGTTGGTTAAGCAACTGCCTTCGGCTCAGGTCATGATCCTGGAGTCCCGGGATCGAGTCCCACATCGGGCTCCCT